GCTGGACTGTGTCACCAGTCAGTCTGTGTTACCCGTCAGACTCCCTGGATTGACGTCTCGCTCGGGACCGTTCCTACTGGTCGTACTCGAACTGTTGGGGACGCCTTACGCGCCATTTTGGCTGCGCTTTGCTTCCTCGGTGCCTGTGTTCAGACTCCCTGGATGCGCCGTTGCATGTTCCTGTCAGGGGCTGCCCTGCAGACTCCCTGGATTTGCACGCCTTGGCTTCGTCGCCCTGGGTCGCTGCTGCCTGCCGCCTGACCGCGGCCCCGCGCGCGCCCGCCCCTAGTCGCGGCCGCAGCCCGACCGTGACCGCCTGCCGCTGGCGCTTCCGCCTGCGGCTGTAAAAAAAAATAAAAATATCCCCACCAGCCCGTCCAGAAACGACGCCCAGGCGAGTAGAGGGTCGTCCTGAGGGGCTTTTCGGCGTCTTGGGTGCCTCGGGGGGGCCTCTTTGGGCCGTTTGGGATCCTCTTGGGGGCCTCCTGGGGGCCTCTTGGGGCCATCTTGGGGCCATCTTGGGGCCTCTTGGTGCCTCCTGGGCGCTTCTTGGGGCCATCTTGGAGGAAATCGACCAAAGAAGAGGGGAGCTTTAACTAGCGCTGCCCCCTCAGAAGGCCAAAATGGGGCCAAAACCTTAGTAAAAACAATGATTTTGGCTTCAAAGAAGAGGGGAGCTTTAATTAGCTCTGCCCCTTCAGAAGGCCAAAATGGTGCCAAAACCTTAGTAAAATCAATGAGTTTGGCTTCGAAGAAGAGGGGAGCCTTAATTAGCGCTGCCCCCTGAGAAGGCCAGAATGGGGCCAAAACCTTAGTAAAATCAGTGATTTTGGCTTCCTCGGCGGGGCCGTTTTGGACGCTCTGACCGCTCCCCGCCCCTCCTGTCCAGGTCAGTGGGGAGGGGGTAGGGGGAGGGGTAAACCCCTCCCCGAAGGGGAAGAAGGAGGGGTGGAAGAGGAAACTCGTTAAACCACCGACGCCCTAAAGGGCTGGTGGGATTTTCGCCAAAAATCCCCTTGTAGGAGGACAGGCCCGACCTAACCCAAGCCAAGGGAGGGGGACCCTGACTCCTGATCTGGCGTGCTCTGGTTAGCTTTCCGACCTCAAAAAACCGTGTCGGGAATGCACCTCCGACGATGTGAGCAGGCAGGGCGCAGATTTCCGCAAAAAATCTGGCGGAAACGGCGACGGCAGACTCGGGTGGAACTCGATATCAGAGGAGCTCGACAAGTGGGGCGGAAATGTCCGCCCTGCTTGCGAAAGCGCTCATGAGGTATGCGGCGTGCCCGCAGTCGGGGACCCAGGCCTGCGACGTCCTGCTTATTTCAGGACGGCCTCCCCGGAAGTCCCGATCCCCGGGGCAGGTTTGTCATCCCGAGTCGTTCGTTGACGGTCCCGGGGCCCGGCGAGGGCCTCGAGAGGCCGAAAACGACGAGCAGTTTTCGTTTTGAAATTCCTACGACGCGATCATGTCTGCAGGTGCTCCTCGGCTTCTTCTGGACCTCCTGGGCGCTCCGGCCGGCACGGGCCAGGCCCGCCTCGAGATCCTGGCCCTCGACAGGTGGGGCGGAAGTGTTTCGCCCTGCTCGCGAAAGCGCTCCTAAGGTGTGGGGCGTACCCGGAGTCGGGGATGCGATGCTCCTCGGCTTCTGTCGAGGGGGACGAACAATGACACACACACACACACAAACACACGCACACACACACACACACACACACACACACTGACGAACCAACAACACACACCCATACCCATAGGGGGATCGGAGAGGGCTATGGGTGCGTGTTGTCGGATGGGGGTCCCCGCTCGAACGGGAGCGTTCCCCAGGGTCCGACAACCCGCACCCATACCCACAGCCAGTCCTCCTCCCAACGACCCCCCTGTGGGTATGGTTGTGTGTTGTTCGTTCGTCACACACACACATAAAAACTCGAAGGTCCGCGCGGAGGGGGGTCCAGCGCGGATCCTGGAACTCCGCGCGGACCTCCGAGTTGTCATGCTTATGGCGTTGTTTGTTCCCCTACTGCCCACTGTTACGTCGGGCCTGCCCCCCTACAGGGGCATTTTCGACGAAGAATAAAAAATGCCCCAACAATAGTCAAAACATAGTCCAAAAATAAGATGGGGACTATTTTTTTTTTTTATTATTTTTAGACCTTTGGGGGGCATGTTTGGTGTATTTTTTATTTTTCGTCGAAAATCCCCCTGGGGGACACGCCCGACTTAAGCCTACTGTTGGATCTCCCTGGGCGCTCCGGCCGCTACGTGCCAGGCCCGCCGTGAGACCCCGGCCAGGAGCGCGCTCCAGGGCACGCCTTGGGTTATGTCGCGCGTGTCCCTCTACAGGGGGATTTTGGGCGAAAAGTGAAAAATACCCCCAAAATGCCACAAACATGTCAGAAAAGATGCAAAAATTGTCCCCAGACTGCGTTTTGATTATTTTTCGATTGTCTCGGGGACATGTTTTATTTTCAGTCGGAAATCCCCCTGTGGGGGGACAGGCCCGACTTAAGTCTTGGGGGGTCGAGCGCGGAAAGGGGCAGCCCAGACCTCCACGCGCCGCAGTCGAGATGCGACGGGCAGCTCTCGGTCTCGTCGATTTGGGCCTCCAGCGGCTCGTGTCCGGGCCCAGGACCATCTAGGAGAACGAACAATGACACAAGCATAAGAACTCGAAGGTCCGCGCGGATTTCTCGGATCGGCGCTTGACCCCCCTGGCGGCGCCTCCGCCGCCGCCCCTGGCGCGCTCCGCGCGCCAGGGAAGGGGTCCAGCGCCGATCCGAGAAGTCCGCGCGGGCCTCCGAGTTTTTATGCTTATGTCACTGTTTGCTTCCCTACCATCGGAAAGACATCCCCGATCCCAGACCATACTTGATCGGCGACGGTGCAAGCAGGGCGGAAATGTCCGCCCAACTCTTCGAGCTCTCTAATGTCGATGTCCACCCTGCTCTGCCGTCGCTTTTGAGGAAACAGCCACCCAGCCACCCTACTTCTGAGTCGCAAAAGTTTCCGCCCTACAGTCTGCCCTCATTAGTAGGTCGACCCTGCCAAATCAAGGGTGCCCTTGTGTCCTGTGTCTCGCGATCCATGCCTCCTACGTTCCTGTGGCAATGTGGCCCTCGGAAAGGTCTTTTGTCCTCTCGCGTGCCAGGTCCAATCAATTCCGATTGTATGTGTTCGCATCGTTTGGGATGCATTCCGAACAAATCTGCAAGGCAGAACGTCAACCAAAGTGCGGCGGATCCAGAGTCAGGGATGCCCCGGGAGCGGGGCCGAGAGCTCAGTAGGTCAACATGCTGTAAGAATCTCGACGACGCGGGGGGGGGTCTGGATAGAGGACGGAGGACCGAATCCCCGAGTTCCCTCCGAAACGCTTTTTACGTCGCAACGCGGCAGAGGCAGTCCGCACGCGCGCTCGGGCGGTCTGGGCAACGGACGGCGCAACTTACTCGCAGCAGGGGGAGGGGAAAACAGGCGAAAGCGGTCGCGAGGGAGGATTTTAAATTGCACCGCTGATAGAGGTGGGAGGGAGGGAGGCAGGGAGGGCATTCAAATGGCCAGGGAAGAGGGAGGAGGGAGGAGGAGGGGGGGAGGGGGGAGGGAGGGAGGCGGAGGGAGGGAGGAGGAAAGAGGAAGGAGGAAGGGAGGGAGGAGGGAGGAGGGAGGGAGGGAGGGCGGACAGACTAGGGAGGAGGGAGGAAGGAGGAGGGAGGAAGAGAGGGGAGAGGGGAGGGGGGGGAGGGAGGAGGGGGGAGGAGGGAGGGAGGCGGGGGAGGGAGGGAGGGGAGGGAGGGATGGGAGGGAATGAGGGAGGGAGGGAGGGAGGGAGGGAGGGAGGAGAGGGGGGAGGGAGAGGAGGAGGAGGAGGAGGGGAGGGAGGAGGAGGAGGAGGAGGAGGAGGAGGAGGAGGAGGAGGAGGAGAGGAGGGAGGGAGAGGAGGAGGGGGCGAGGGAGGAGGAGGAGGAGGAGGAGGAGGAGGAGGAGGAGGAGGAGGAGGAGGAGGAAGAGGAGGAGGAGGAGGAGGAGGAGGAGGAGGAGGAGGGCGGGAGAGCGGGAGGGAAGAGGGAGGGAGGGAGGAGAGGAGGAGGGAGGGGAGGGAGGGAGGGTGGAGGGAGGGGAGGGTACTCACATGGGGAGGTGCGTCGACGTGGAGCGGCCTTGGCCGCCAGCCAGCGCGGCACCCTTAGAAAAGGAGGAGCAAAAAGGGGGAGTATGTGATACATTCGGTAGCGAATCAATGGAGCCTGGTATACTCCCTTAATTCCGCCTTTAGCGTCGACTAGCGTCGATTAGCGCCTGGGAGTCGATGAGATAGCGCCGATTGTGCGTCGGCTAGCGTCGATCGGCGTCGATGTAGCATCGATCGACGCCGACTCAGCGTCGACTCGCAAGGGCCAACGAGATGGTGTTGGAGGCCCCCATGGGTTGCCACAGAAGGATACACCCCCCAGGGGGTTCTTCGGACAGACCTCTGCCCAGGGTAGAGGCGGCCCGTCGTAAAGCCCCGAGTGGGTCCCCAACGTGCTGCGGTCCGTGAAGAGCACGGCAAAGACGGGGACTGGGGGCCGCCATGCCCCCCTCCGGTTGGCCACCTCTGTCCAGGCCGTTGCTGAACTGCTCGGCGTCCAGGCCGCCTCGGACAGCTTCCGGCAGTCGGGAGTGGCCCCGGATACGGCGGGGGACGTGCGTTAAGGAATGTGCCCGGGAGACCTCAGATCCTGGAGGGTTCCTTATCTGATGAGGGCGGCGGTGATATCCATGGCCCATCCACGGCTGGCTTTCCACCGACTTCCAGGCCCTGGGTTCCTTATCGAAGGCTTCCTTGTCCAATGCCATCACCGTACCCTAGGGCCCTGGATAGCCTCGGATGGCCTCGAGCATGGCGAGGACATCTGGGCCAGGAGGACAGAGGGAGCCCCCGCACAGATGAAACGAAACGCAGGCCCCGAGCACTCCCCTCGCCTGGGCGGGGCGTCGGCTCTCCGCCCTGGGCCTCCAGGAGAAGATGGCCTCGAGACGAAGCCAGGCGCTGTCGAAGATGAGGAGGAGCCAGACGTGGGGCTTCGGCGAAGCCCCGAACATGAACGTGATCGACGTCGACGACGAGGAGGAGAAGCAGAACCCGGCGCCGGCGCCGCCTGCGGCCTCCTCCTCGCCCCCGCTGGTGCCCAGCGGCGCGGTGGCCAGCGCGGCCAGTGACGGGCGCCCTCTCCCCCACACGCCCACTGCTGCGGAGTGGAAGGCCGAGCTTGCCGGGGACCTTTCCCGGCGCCTCGACAGGATCAGGAGGGGAAACGACACACAGACACAACCAATCGACGATTCCCAAGAAAAGGGGGGAAAATATAGGCAGTGGGGGGGGAGACGTAAACCCAGAAGACACTGGAAGATGTGGGGAAAATCCTGTTATCTGTGTGTGTGTGTGTGTGTGTCTTTACTTGTGTGTCCCAGGGCCCCTTCGCAGGATCGACGGCAAGCTGGACTGGCTCATCGCGCGCGCCAAGCCCACCGGCGCGCCCCTGTACGAGCTCCCGGGGGCGGCCGCCGCGCTGGCGCGCGGCGGCCTGGCGGGCGGCTCCGGCTCCGGCTCCGGCAGGGCGAGCTACCGCACCCAGGTGACCACGGAGACCATCGGAAGCGGAGGCTCGGGGGCGGCAAAGATCAGGAGGGGAAAACAAATTATCCCGGCAAAGCAACCTAACAGCGATGTGTAGAAGCATATCTGGAAGCATTCCCCTTAAGATTCAGGTGAGAATCCAGTTGGAGAATTCTGCTGTTTTCGCAGTCGCAGTCGCATTCGCGATGACAGTCGCAGTGGCAACGGCCTTAGGATCCAATGGAATCCTAAGGATGCCTAGGGATTCCTAAGGCATCCTTGGGCATCCTTAGGAATCCATAGGAATCCTGAGGAAACCTTAGGAATCCTTAGGAATCCTGATTCTTATGGATTCCTAGAGATTCCTAAGGATTCCTAGGGAATCCTAAGAATTCCGAAGGATTCGTCTGCCTCGGCCTCGGCCTCAGCCTGCCTCAGCCTCAGCCTGCATCAGCCTCAGCCTCAGCCTGTCTCAGCCTCAGCCTGCCTCAGCCTCAGCCTCAGTCTCAGCCTCAGCCTGCCTCGGCTTGCCTCGGCCTCAGCCTCAGCCTGCCTCGGCCTCAGCCTCAGCCTCAGCCTGCCTCAGCCTCAGCGTCAGCCTCTCAGCCTCAGCCTGCATCAGCCTCAGCCTCAGCCTGCCTCAGCCGCAGCTTGCCTCAGCCTCAACCTCAGCCTCAGCCTCAGCCTCAGCCTGCCTCAGCTTCAGCCTCAGCCTCAGTCTGCCTCGGCTTGCCTCAGCCTCAGCCTCAGCCTGCCTCGGCCTCAGCCTCAGCCTCAGCCTGCCTCAGCCTCAGCGTCAGCCTGCCTCAGCCTGCCTCAGCCTCAGCCTGCATCAGCCTCAGCCTCAGCCTGCCTCAGCCGCAGCTTGCTGCAGCCTCAGCCACTGCCACAGCCTCAGCCTCAGCCTGCCTCAGCTTCAGCCTCAGCCTCAGCCTGGCTCGGCTTGCCTCAGCCTCAGCCTTAGCCTATCTCCGCCTGCCTCGGCCTCAGCCTCAGCCTCAGCCTGAGCCTGCCTCGGCTTGCCTCAGCCTCAGCCTCAGCCTGCCTCGGCCTCAGCCGCAGCTTGCCTCAGCCTCAGCCTCAGCGTCAGCCTCTCAGCCTCAGCTTGCATCAGCCTCAGCCTCAGCCTCAGCCTGCCCCAGCCTCAGCCTCAGCCTGCCTCAGCCTCAGCCTGCATCAGCCTCAACTTCAGCCTGCCTCGGCCTCAGCCTGCGTCAGCCTCAGCCACTGCCTCAGCCTCAGCCTCAGCCTGCCTCAGCCTCAGCCTCAGCCTCAGCCTGCCTCGGCGTGCCTCAGCCTCAGCCTCAGCCTGCCTCGGCCTCAGCTTGCCTCGGCCTCAGCCTGCCTCAGCTCGGGCATTCAAACTATTGCACAGGACTGGTGTTCTGAGAACACGAAGATTACGAAGTGGCCCACAGTTGGCTCCGGGCAATCAAAATATGGAACAGGAATGGTGTTCCGGGAACATGAAGAACACGAAGAGGCCTACAGTTGGCTCCGGGCATTCAAAATGTGGCCTGGGAATGGTGTTCTGGGAAGACGAAGATTACGACGTGGCCCACAGTTGGCTCCGGGCATTCAAAATGTGGCCTGGGAATGGTGTTCTGGGAACACGAAGAACACGAAGTGGCCTACAGTTGGCTCTGGGCATTCAAAATGTGGCCTGGGAATGGCGCTCTGGGAATGGATTCCTAAGGATTTTTAAGAATTCATAAGGATTCCTAAAGATTCCTGGGGCTGCTGGATCTGTCCGGTTGCTTGTCCGGCTCCCGCCCAGACCCCCCTGGGGCGTCAAGATGCTTTCTTTTGACATCACTAGAAACCTATCAGCAAAAGTTGTTAGGGAAAAACGCAGACACAATGAGTCGTCGATTCCCAAGAAGTTAGGGGAAAATATGGGAAGTGTGGGGGGAGACGAAAACCCAGAAAACATGGGAGAATATGGGGAATCCTGTTATCTGTGTGTATTTACTCGTGTGTCCCAGGGCCCCCTCAAAAGAGGGGGGTAATGACCGAGGGGGGGGGGGGGATGTCATGGCGTGGGCCACGACGTCTCCCCAGATTTCGTGGCGCCTCCTCTGGTCTCATCACGCCCCTTGGCCCCCGCCCTGGGCCGCGCACGGGCCGTCGGCCCAGATCTGCGGGCAGTCGTCCAGGATGGCGTTTCCCAAAAGTAAGAATCATGGGAAACGCGACTGTGGCTCATCGAGTGCTGTTTTTTTCAGGGGAATCAAGTCTCCATGACTCGCAGAGCTTCGGGTCTGCGCCCCCTCCCCCTCTTCAGGGGACCAGACAATGACATAAACATAACAACTCGGAGGTCCGCGCGGATTTCCCGGATCGGCGCCGGGGCCCCCTGGCGGCGCCTCCGGCGCCGCCCTTGGCGCGCTCCGCGCGCCAGCGGGGGGGGGGGGTCCAGCGCGGATCCAAGAAGTCCGCGCGGGCCTCCGAGTTTTTATGTCCATGCCACTTTTCGTTTCCCTACTCTCGGAGGCCCCCGGGGTTGTCGGGGGAGCGTAAGACCCTGGTCTGCCAGGACTCGGGTTCGCCATCGTTTTTTGACGACCGCGCCTCGGATTTTGACGAGGAGGAGTTTCGTGGGATGTCTGCAGCGGGAGGCCTCGTCAAAATGCAGGCTCGGCCTCGTCATTTTTTTGACGACCTTGTCGGGGATTTCCGAGTCCCCTGTACCCAAGTCTTACGTCCCCCTGATCTTGGCCGCCCCTGAGAGGCGGAGGGAGCTGCGCGCCCGGCTGCCAGCGGCCGAGCGACGCGAGGGAGCGGCCCTCGGCGGAGCCGTCGGCGGGCGCGGGCCTGGCTGCGCCTCGGCTGCCCTCCCAGATCAGCCACATGACCCAGGAGCAGGGTCGTGCCCCTCCTCCTCCTCCTCCTCCTCCTCCTCCTCCTCCTCCTCCTCCTCCTCCTCCTCCTCCTCCTCCTCCTCCTCCCTCCTCCTCTTCCTCCTCCCTCCTCCTCCTCCTCCTCCTCGCCCTCCGCCCTCCTCCCTCCTCCCTCCTCCTCCTCCTCCTCCCTCCTCCCCCCTCCTCCTCCTCCTCCTCCTCCTCCTCCTCCTCCTCCTCCTCCTCTCCGTAGCCATTTTGGCTCAAGCCATTTTGGCTCAAGGCTCCTGCCCCGTGCCGCTGGGCCGCGCCTTCGGCGCGCTCGCCGCGTGGCCGATGCCGGGTTCGCTCTCGCCGAAGGCCGCCGGCCTGCGCCGCGCCGAGGAGGCGGCCCGCGGGGCCCTCCTCGCGGCGCATGCGGCCGCGGGGCTGGCAGCAGGGCACTCCCGCGATGGGGTGCGCCTGTTGCGCGCCGCGGAGGGCCTTCTGCGCGCGGCGGTGGCGGGCTTGCGGAGCCCTGCCGCCGAGCCGCCTGCGCCCGTGCCTGGCGCTGCAGCTGCCCCCGCGCGGCGGCGGCGGCGGCGAGGGCGCGGAGGCCGTGGCGGTGGTGCTGCGGGCCACGGTGATGCGGCTGATGAAGATCGTGCTGGCGGCGGCGAGGCGGTTGGGGACCACGTGATGGAGGACGCCACGGGGGGCGGTCGCAGGCAGCGGCGGCGGCGCCGTCAGCAGCCTGCCCCTGTGGGCCTCCCTCTCGCTGATGTCGCTGCTGGGCCTGCTGCTGGTCAGGACGCGTTCGAGGATGAGCTGAACGATGAGTGGGCGGATGGCCTCACGGTGCTGCCTGGCCGCCGCGGCCCTGGACGCCCGCCCGCCCTCGCCCCCGACGTGCGGGCGCGACTCTGCCGAGGCCCCTTGGTGGGTTTCGAGGTGACCGTCGTCGCCGTCGGGGAGCGCTCTGCCTCCGTCCGCTTCGATACGGACGACCCCGCCGCCGAGCTCATGGACGTTCGCCTGGACTTCCTGGAGGCGCTGCCGCTGGCGGGGGCGGGAGGTGGTGGCTGTGGGGGACGGTAGGGGGTCTCGCCGCATTGCGTTGCAGGACCGCCGTCCCTCCCCACCTCCCCCCACACGGTGTTCGCCAGCTGCGATCGCCACTCCTTTTTCTTCTGATGGGCACGGTGCTAGCGATCCGCCTGCACCGCCGCCATGCCACCCTCCTCCTCCTCCTCCTCCTCTTTCTATTGCAGAAATTTGGTGTTAACAAAAACATTTGTTTGAATTGATTGACGTTCCCACAGTAGCAAATTAAAGCAGTTCTTTCAGTCGGAGCACCTTCAGCAATTTTGGGTCGAGGTGTTCCGGTTCAAGTTATTTTTGTCCACGGGCGGCGGACCTAAACTGACGTCGGGCCCGTCCCTCTACAAGGGGAAGATTCCCCTCCTCCCCCCCCCCAAAAAAAAACAGTATGGGGACGACCTTTGGGACTAGGTTTGACAATTTTGTGGAATCTGGTCTGAGTGGTTCTGTGTCTTCGCCCCCCACTCCGTCTGTAGAAGGACGTGCCCGACGGGTACCTGACCGGTGCTTTTTTGTTTGCGATTCCGCGGGCCGTCTTCGTCTCGATGTCGTCTTGCAGCAGAGAAGGCGAGTGTGTCACCACCCACCAAACCACCCCAACCCAACCCGAAGGCCCCAATTTATCATCGATTTCCAGTGGGGGGGGTCGGGGAACGTTGAAAAAACACATGGTATCCGTACCCCCCCCAACCCGAAATTCGGGTCAAATTCGGGTCTTCGGGTTGGGTTGGGGTGGTCTGGTAGGTAGTCAGTGTGAGACGAGACGAGGGGGAGCCGCGAGCGGCACGAGAGCGACAAGCACGGTTTGGGCCCGGCCCCGCCCAGGAGACCTGCTCCGAGAGCTCTGTCGCCCTCAGCGCCGCGACGGTGACGCGCATCCCGAATCTGAGCAGGATCCCCCCCTCCTCCCCTCCTACTCTTCCTCCTCCTCGCATTGTCGCCTCCTCCTCCTCCTCCTCCTCCTCCTCCTCCTCCTCCTCCTCCTCCCCCGCTCCTCCTCCTCCTCCTCCTCCTCCTCCTCCTCCTCCTCCTCCTCCTCCTCCTCCTCCTCCTCCTCCTCCGCTCCTCTTCCGGCACGATCGGGCGTGGCCGCTGGGCGAGAATTCATACACGACCACCGCCTGGAGGGTGCTTTTTCGGTTCCTCGGCAGGCGGTGGATATGGACGTGTTCGGCGCCCCGGGGGCCGAACTCTAGCCACATCCACCGCCCGCTGGGGCACCAGGACGTCGGTTCCCAGGCGGTGGGTATGGATAACTCCCCGCCTCGCACAGGAGGCCTGGGGATCGGAGGAGGTCGGCCCGGCAGTCGGCATGGACAGCCTCGGCTCGGACAAAGACCGGGTCGAAGCTGAACCTCCTCCCCGACGTGTTCAGGAACAATTTCTTCGCGAGGAAGCTGTACGAGAAGTCCGACAGCAAGGACCTGGACAACCTGCAGAGACGTGTCAATGCGCTGCCGAAGGCGATGAGGAGCCAGCGGAACAAAACGGTCGACTACGTGTTCTCGCTCTTGGACGACCCTTCGTCCAGCAGTGCAGCCTGGTGGACATCGGCGGTGCCCAAAAGGTGGCAGTGTGAGCGGGGGCGGCCTTCTAAGAAAGCAGGGGGATTCGTTGAGGGGTTCTTCCTTTTGCCACGCCTTCGATCGGCGGCGAGCCCGGGGGGGGGGGAAGTGAGAAGGGGCGGGCCTTCCCAGAAGGCTCGGAGCTCCCCTGGCCTTCTGAGAAGTCTTCGAAGCCCCCCCCCCGGGACACGGAAGACCCCTCGGAAGGCCGGAGGGCTTCCGAGAAGCCCCGCCGCCTTCCGAGAAGGCTTTCTCTAGGGGAACAAAGAATGGCACAAACATAAAACTCGGAGGTCCGCGAGGATTTCTCGGATCGGCGCTGGACCCCCCTCCCTGGCGCGCGGAGCGCGCCAGGGACGGCGCCGGAGGGGCCGTCAGGGGGCCCCAGCGCAGATCCGAGAAATCCGCGCGGACTTCCGAGTTTTCATGTTTATGTAATTCTTCGTTCCCTTATTCTCAATTTCCCCCCCCCCCCTCGGTCGCTGCTGCTGCACAGAAGCAGCAGGGTTTCTCAGATGGCCGCCCCCCCCGCCCTGGCCTTGAGTCGGGCGCGTCCCTCTACAGGAGGAATGCCCCCAAAACAGTCCAAAAATAGTCTGGGGACGATTTTTTGACTGTTTGCGGGCATTATTGGGGCTATCTTTGATTTTCGTCCAAAATCGGCGCCGCCCCAACATACTTATACTATATGTGCGTCGCCCCCCCAGGGGCGACGCGCGCACCGAGAAATCTTACAGTATGTGCGTCGTGTCGGGCGCTTTCTGGCCGCACCGCTCGGGAAACGACATGTTATAGGATGGATGTACTACATGTTTAGGTCGGACGCGCGCCTCAAAGGAGGACATCTACAGTCGGGGCGCTGAAGAAGGAACCCTTTTCGTTGGGAAGGGGCTCCGTGTTCCTTGATTGTTTCACAGCTTGCCTTAGTTTTTCCTTAGGTTTTCGACGGGAAATCGAACTTTAACTGATGGGAAAAAGGGGCCTCGTTCCTTATTCAGGGTTCCTTAGGTCAACGACCCGACTGTAGTATGAGTGTGTCTCCGTGCGTCCCACAAAGATCCGCGCGTAGGAGGACACGCGCGACCTAAGCCCTGGCCGCCTCGCGCCGCCCAGGACCGCCGCGTGCCTGCAGGCGCTCGTGCTCTGCAGCGTGCTGGGCACCCTCCTGCAGGCGGTGGAGGACCCGCCCCTGCGCGGCTGGTCGGGCCCGCGTGGCTCCAAAGCCCGACCCCCCCCCGAGCAGCGGAAGCATCACGACGGGAGGCGCTTCGCCGCTCTCGGCGGCACCCGGGGGCGCTCGCCGGGCCTCGGGGCCGTGCGAGAGCGATGCAGGGTGCGGAGCTGGTCCCAGGGAGTGGGTCCAGACCTGTGGGGCTCGAGGGTATGACAAATGCATGACGTCGGCGGGTCTGGGGTAAGGGACCCCAGAGAAAGGGGGCTCTTGAGACGGGCGATGCCGATGTCTCAAGCCCGCTCGGCTTCGCCCGCAAGGTCGTCGCGGGACGCGCTCGCTCGCTCGCCCCCCCCCCCTCGAAGTCTCAAGCGCAGCGCCGCGGTCTCAGAAGTCCCTCTCGCCAGCGTCCCTTTCGCAAACGCATCACAGGCGCTGTTGTCGAGACGGCGTTCGACGTCGTGTTTCTGACGGAGGTGTGCGTTCGCTGGTGTTGTGCGCCTGACCGGGTGAATTTTCTCTTCATCGTGCAGTCTTGGATCGACATCGTGGCCGCGAGTGCGTTCGCCGTGCGGGCAGCGGTGGGCTTCGTGCTCCCAGAGAGGCAGGACGACCCAACATCGATTTTGCTGTTGTGCTTTGTGCCGATCGTCCGGTTATTGAAGATCGTTCGGCATTTTGAGACCTTCAATGTGCTTATCCGAGCGGTCCAGATCACAATGGAGGCCCTTCCGATGCTCCTTTACGCTGTGGCCTTGATCACGATGACTTTCGCCGCCCTCATCTACGTTGTGGAGCCAGAGCTCTTCGAGTCGCCATTCAGGGCAGTATGGTTCTGCCTTGTGACTGTCACCACGGTTGGCTATGGAGACTATTCCCCCGTAACTCCTGTGGGCATCACAATCGTTATGTGTTTGATAATAGTGGGTGTTATATTGTTGGCCGTGCCCATGGGAATTATCGGAATGACATTCAACGACGTGTGGAACGCGAGGGACTATTCCTTGTTGCTTACGAAAACGCGAATGAAGCTGCATCAGTGGGGTTACACAGCCCATGACATCCCGACGTTGTTCAAGATCGTTGACTCCGACGGAAATGGGGTTCTTGAGCTCGACGAGTTCTGCGAGCTGGTGAAGGAAATGAAGATTGGGCTCTCCGACAACCGGATCATCGCCCTCTTTGAGCACATGGACAAGGACGGCAGCGGCGCGCTGGATGCAGCAGAGTTTGCCTTGGAGGTGTTTCCAGAAACGTTCGTCGACGCTTACGGTCACGAAGACAATTCCATTGTGAATAAGCCCAAAGCGAGTACCAGTTGGATGGCGAGCCTTGCAGCCACGATCAACCGCGGTACAAATTTTCAGCGCCCCACGAACGACTGATGGGCCGTTCTCTGTAGCGCGCTGCGTGATTGGCCAGCCCAGCTGATCACCGGCAAGCGTCTGAGCAGTGCTGCTTGATTGGCCTTTGAGGATATGGAATTTGGGTTATGTCAAGTGTCCTTTCCTCCCTCGTTCATCATGTATTCCTCATGGTGCTATTCATGTTCCACTCCATTCATCCTTAACCCTACCCCTACTCGCCATCCTCTTCGTCTTTTTCTTCTGCCCCCTCCTCCGAATCCTCCTCCACATCCTCTTCCCGTCCCTCTTCTTCCTCGTCCTGACACTCCTCCTCTTGTTCCGCCCTCACCGTTCCTCATCCCTCTCCACCCTTCCGCCTTCTCTATCCTCTCCCACCCTCTCCAGCCTGGTCCCGCTTCCTCCCCCTCAACTACTGAATAAGAACACTATTCTAGACGCTTCGCGTAAGCCAACCAGCTCATCCAGAAACGATGCCCTGGCGAGCGAGTTGCCCTGATCAGGGATGTGGAGAAGCATGCAGTGGAATACAAGGCTGGGGAAGCCGCCGCACCCCAGGAGAAGGAGGATGGAGAAGAAGTCAGAGGAGGAGGAGGGGCGGAGGCGGAGGGGGAGGGGCCCAGGGGAGGAGGGAGGAGGGAGGAGGGAGCAGGAGGAAGAGGCGGAAGAGGACGAGGAGGAGGAGGAGGAGGACGAGGAGGAGGAGGAGGAGGAGGAGGAGGTCGAGCAGAAATCTAGAGGCCTCTAGGGTATCTCTCGGAGTCTCTTGGAATGTTCTTGAGAGTTTCTTAGGGGTCCTATCGGGGCGTCTTGGAGGCCTCTCGGCGGTCCCAGGGGCCTCGTGCAGCGTCTTGGTGCCACGGGAGAGCCGCTTGGGGCCTCGTGGGGGCCTCTTTGGAGGCCTCTTTGGAGGCCTCTTGGGAACCTCTCGGGGCCTCTCGTCGGGCGGCCATCTCGGAGGAGATCGACCAAAGAAGGAGGCTCAGGGTTGGTGGGACTGTCTTCTCACCCCCGAGTCTGTCCAGAAGATGCTTCCCTGACTCCGAATCCGCCCTAGTTTGGGGAAATTCGTAGGTAGGGCTTGGAATTTCCGCCTTACTTTTCAAGCCCCGCTGATGCCAATTTCCGCCCTACGTTTCTGTTGTTGTTTCCGTCCTACTTCTGTGGATGTTCGGCCTATTTCATGTTGGGTGCAGAAATTTCTGCCCTACTTGTTCGGCTTCTTATAGGTGGATTTCCGACGCAGTTTTGAGTTGGAAAAAAGCCAAAGTAGGGCGGATCTGGAGTCAGGGTTGGCCCTCTCCGCGCATCGTATTTTCACACCGAGGGCTTCGTTCTTGGATGAATCGCGTCGCTCACTCCGCCGGCCCATTCTTGCGCACGGCTGTGTCGGCTGGCCGAGGGGTCGTTGGCAGTGCGGAGCTGCAGGGTCGGCGTGTGTGTCTGTGAGAGAGTTGCTTTCGGCATGTCTGGGGTTGAAGCAGCTCCCGTTGAGCAGCCGCGTGGCGGCCGTTTGGACATTGTGGAGAAGATGTCGGAGGTTCGTTGGTTTCTTCCGTGGTTTCTGAGTGTTTGCCACCTTGTGGGGCTTCTGGTGTTTCGTGGGGGTTTGTTGCCTGCGGAAGCTCGCTTGGAGGCCGTCCGAGTGCGAGGAGGAGACACCTGGTGTTATGATGGAACCCTCGTGTCGGAGGGTGGGGTCTCCTCGGAGCGCTGTCGTGAGCTTCTGGGGGGCAGTGCACAGGAAGCTTTTGGGAGTTCTCCGAGGCTTTCGGAGACGTCTTAACCTGAAGCCTTTTTGGGGCTCTTTGGGGCCTCTTGGCGGCCTCCTGAGCGTCTCTTGGGGGCCTCTTGGGGCCTCCTTAGGGACCTCCTGGGGGCTCTTTATGGCCGAGGGCTTGATCTGCTGATTCGTGTTCCCCCTCTGGGGTCTCTCTTGGGGCGTTCTTAGGGCCGTCTTGGGCCGTCTTGGAGTCGTCTTGGGCGGTCCTGGAGCCCTCTTGGGCCGTCTTGAGACTCTCTTGGGGCCCTCTTGGACCCTCTCGGGGCGATCTTGGGGACCTCTTGGGCCGTTTTGAGGTGTGGGAAACCGGCGAGGGGGAAACGCCCAAATCTGTCCCAAATTTGAGGAACATGAATAAGTTTTACTTTTTGGAGCCCTCTTGGGAGTGGCCTTGGAGGCCTCTTGGGGCGTTTGGGGGCGATCTCGGGCATTTGGGAGCGATTTTGTAGCAGCTCGGAGCTCTCTTGTTCTATCTTGGGGACCTCTTGGGGCCCTTCTAGGGGCTCTCTGGAGGGCTTCGAGGGCGGCGCCTAGGAGGAAAGCCATCTCTGACCCGACCCGGCCGGGCACCGTCCGGGGTACTCTTCGTCCGGGGACCCCCAGGGGCCGCTCCGCGTGCGCCAAGAAGAAATACTGTACGCAGTCACCAGAGATCTTAGCACGCATCTGGCCTGCCAGGCCGGCGAATTTGGTCTTTCCGAGTGGATTCCCAATCTTAATGTGTTGGGCTTTCGCTTTGAATACCTAGAGCACTGTGGTCTCCTGTCCTTCCCGCCTCCCTCCTCCTTTTCTTCCTCCTCCCCCTCCTCCCCGTCCCCTCCTCGTTCTCTTCCTCCTTCTCATCCTCCTCCTCCTCCTCCTCGTCCTCCTCCTCCTCCTCCTCTCCTCGTCCTCCTCATCCTCTTCATCCTCCTCCTCTTCCCCCCCTCCTCCTCCTCTCCCTCTCCTCCTCCTCCTCCGCCTCCTTCCTCCTCCTCTTCCTCCTCCTCTCCTCCCCCTCCTCCTCCTCCTCTCTCTCCCCCTTCCTCCCCTCCCTCTCCCCTCTCCCCTCTCCTCCTCTCCTCTCCTCTCCTCCCCTCTCCTCTCTCTCCTCTCCTCTCTCTCCTCCCTGAGTCCTCCTCGTCCCGCCTCCTCCGCCTCCTCCTCTCTTCCTCCGCCGCTTCCTCCTCCCCCTCTTCCTCCTCCTCCTCCTCCTCCTCCTCCTTCTCCTCCTCCTCCTCCTCCTCCTCCTCCTCCTCCTCCTCCTACTCCTAGTCCTCCTCCTCCTTCTGCGCCGTCATTTGAGGCGTGACCGAAGGTGACTGCGCCGCCCCCGAGAAGGAATCCACGGGCGAGAGCACTCTCCCCCGACCCCCTGGGGCTCCTCTCCTGCGGGCCCCTCCGCCGGCGGGCCGTCCTCTCGGACGCAGGCCCGCCAGCAAACACACAGCCGGGGGGCGCTGAAGAAGGAACCCTTCCGGTTGGGGAGGGGCTCCGCGTTCCTGAAGTGTTTCGCAGCTTGCCTCAGGTTTTCCGCATGTTTTCGATCGGAAAGCGAAGTTTAGCTTATGGGAAAACAGGGGCCTCGTTCCTCATTTAGGGTTCCTTAGGTCAACGCCCCGGCTGTATCTGAGAGGGGGGGGTTGCGGGACCGAGCGCGCAGACCCGCCACCCCGTCTCCCGGCGGCCGCCGCCGACGAGCCCAGCGGGCAGTCGTCGGCCATGCTGCCGGGAAATGGCCGAAATGGCGGGCCATCAAGCCCTCAGCCCATCTGGCCACTGCCTGATCCCCTATGGCATCTTGCCCGCGCCCATCTGCTTCAGAGGGTGTGTGCTTCCCTTCCCTGGTTGAGAAGCGCAGGTGCAGGACGAACGATCGAAACGCGTGGCCCCTTGGGCCGCACAAGCTCGGCAGAATTCACGGGCCCCGAACGTTTTCGATTCTGTGGCTCCTAGGGGTTTGAAGCGGTCGTGTAGGGCAACCAGTGGCACCGATAATTGCTAGACCTGCGCTGCTCTAGGTCTCTAAGGGGCGGCGCAGGGGCGACACTAAATATCGGTGTCTGCGTGCCAGGGCATTTTCTTTTGCGGAGTTGGGCGCCCTGGCGCGGACGGCCGAAC